TCCCCAACGATAGTATCTTTGATGACTCATCAAAACCCAATACTCCTTCGTATATAAAATTAATAACACCATTTTTTTACAATAATTTATGAGAAATTCCTGTAACTCTGACATCATAGACCTGGATTGAATATACTTTTTAGTCGACAATTTTTGATAGTTAAGCTTACTTCCATTTCTCCAGCACATCATTCTACTTCACCCAACCTTGCTTCCCAATAGGCATCTTCGACTCATCGTCTATATTATCAGCCCAAAATGGGTTGGAAACCGATGCCTGCTTGTAAAGTGACGACAAGTTGCCACTCTGACGAACAGGTCACAGGCGCCAATGAATTAAAGCGTAACTTGCTTTTTTAGGCAAGTGATTTAACCTAATTTCCACGATTTTTAGCACCAAACTACAAATACTCAAAGAGACAAATGAAGCCCATCGCTTGACAACTGACGATGCAGGCCATGATTCAAGAAGAAACGACTGTCAATATACAAAGTTCACAGTCCAACGCCCAAATTTACTATGACTTCTATGGCAGATTCATAAAAGGTTTTTCGAGACTACCGGTACATCGGAAATATAAGTCGGGTTCACCCTATTTTGTTTAAGGTGATGAAGGACTGATGTGAGTAGAAAATGCGCTCTTATTAAATTTCACATATTCTTGCTTACTCAAAAGGTATTCTCGCCTTAGTCTTGTCAGTACCTATAGCGGGACTCGAACCATGTCGGTCCAATGCATAATCTTGATATATTAACCAATACGCCGTATTTCCGCGAAAGCCCTTTAGCCACAGAGCTGATGTGAATTTTAGGAAAGGCCAAGCATTTTCCCATACTACATTTTGTGGTGGGATTGTCTACAGAGTACAGTTGTATTTGCTATAGTGTTCAAATATACTACTTTTTTATTTTTAGTAGGTCTTCGAGACTATACATAAATATGTTTCGCTTTTTAGTATGTGAAGTGTGCTACTTCTCCGAGTAGTATATACATCTTCTTATTACACGGGAAAGCCGCATCCTCTTTTCTTTTTCTAGCCGCCCCCACCGGATTTGTTGTTGGCCATTTTGCAGACGTCGCGCTGCATAAACCAACTTTGGCTGTCCGGCTCAAACCGGCCGATAGCCAACGCCGTCGTCGAGGCGACGACAACATTAACTGAGGATTTCGTGAAACTAAACGACGCGACGCCGAGTCCGAGGGATGAGCTCGAGGGCTGGCGTCAGCGAGATTCGAAATGTCCCGACTGGACCGTCGCAGCCTCTGCTTCGGCAGAGATGCACTCACGCCCGTCCGGGCTCGCAGTTCGTTCTGATGACGGAGGCAGTGGAACAGGTAGGCCTAGGCCTTAATTAATTTACGGATTCTATTTTATTTTTCCTTGACAATC